TCTCATGAGAAAACGGATGGGCAATTTTACTAACAGTTTCTCAGGTAACATGAACATACAATTTGCCCAGAAGATCGCCCTACTAGGAACATCCTATATATTAAGAAATGTGCTATCAGTTAAATGACAATTCTCCTATTGGGCCTAAGGACCATTGTTTGAGCTCGGATCTACAAGATACAAAGCAGGAAACATAACACACAAATAATAATAATAATAACAATATATGTGGTGGCTGACTGCTCGTATCCAAGTATTCCTGTGTACTAGGACGGCTAGCCAGTCCCTGTTGTAGACGCCTGCTCAGGCACATTTGTGTTTGTCCAACACCCACAGAGGCCACCTGTGATTTATACTGCAACTATGCTGAGCAGACCTTAGTTACAGTTTCTGGGAAAGAGCGCGTTATTTGTCATGATCAATAATTTCAAAAATTTGGTTGGTTGGTTGATTTTGTTTAGCAGTAAGTATATCAACCTCTATGGTTTATTAAATGCCGAAATCTAAATATTTTGAACACAATTTTATGTCTTCAATTAAATATATTTTGAACGTAATTGTATGCCTTCAACTATAGATAACGTATTGTTGGTAATTTTACTATAAATATGTATTGTTGGCAATTTTATTTTATATAAAACTGTATTGCTGGTATCTTTGCTATAATAATGTATTTTTATATTTTCATAATGTTTTGTTTTTGTTTGGTGTGGGGTTACTATTTTGCTCATAACTGGGACCCTAACAGGCGTTACCATTCCGGGTCAGAGTAGACCTGGGAACACCAGCAATTAAATGGTAGCTCAACGCTATCCAGAACCGCCAATCTCCCGATCAGAGACCTTGCTGCAGTTTTATCGTCACACTCAGGATTCAGTCTGAACAAGGCCAGCACCTCAAATCCTCGGTCACTATGACTGGTGACTTCGTGCTAGCACAACCATCGACGGCTCACAAATAGTTCCGTCTACCCAATTTCACTAACAAGTTTTGGGTCAACGTTCTAACTACTAACCACTCGGTCATTAATGAATATATATATATATATATATATATATATATATATATATATATATATATATATATATATATAGAGAGAGAGAGAGAGAGAGAGAGAGAGAAGGGGAGAGGCAGCATATTTTCTTTCAAGCATGTTTAGTTAAATAATTTAGACGTATTATGTATATTTATTTTTATTTTAATCCTTTCAAGTCCACGGATTAATTTCTTGGTAGCAGCAGAAATTTGACCAAGAAAATTTTCAAAATTTTCTTTCAAATAATTTTTATTTTCCCAAGTACTTTCAGTCACTTCCAATATCATCTTCAGGGGTTGAGCGTTTGTGAATATGTGTGCGTGGACACCGCAAAATTCAAAACATTTACCCGTTATGCAAGAGAGGTAATTTATGTGATTTTTTTAGTATATTTTTTGTGCATGTTCACCGTAAGATTCAAAATATTTATCCGTTATGCAATGGAGGTAACTTATGTGATTTTTGGAGTATGTTTTTACAGGTTTAAAAGTTTTTTTTTTATATTGTAGTTTTTAACAATTCTAATTTCTAAGACTTTGTTGCTATAGGCACTTAAGAACTTTGTTGCTATACTCATAGTTGACTATTTTTTGACGCAATTCACTTATACAAAGAGCTTCTAAATTTTTTAATTTTTGCTTACTATTATCTTGGTGGTGTACCGTTGTATTTTTGACTAATACAGTCTAAATTGTGAATGTGGCCATGATTGGTTAAAGGTTAATTTGGGGAAGAGTGCATCTTCCCGTAGGGGGGTGGTGACAGGCAAGTATGGAGGATTCCATAATATTTTATGCTAAACTATTTTTCAAAACACTGTCAGAATAAACAGAAATCGACATAAACTTTTCTCCTGGCCGATTTGCTCTTGCTTGGACTGAACCCTTTCTATCTTAAGGTAACCTTTGCTTTGACTGAGGTTTGTCCTTAGGATCGTGCTGGTAAAGCTAAGTTTCATCTCTAGGTACAATTCGATCTCATTTGTTTAAAATTTCCATTGAAAGTTCTGATTTTATCTGTGGTGCAATAGTTATGGTACCTCAACGAACAGAATAATTGATCAAATATTTCAGATAAAATTGTGTGGGCCGAACAAATTTGGATGTCTAGAATGTTAGCTGTTATTTTTGCCGACGATGATTAACATCGATAACCCTTAAATCTTGAACAGCATCAAATTTTTCTTACGGACGTTGATGGTCTGCCGATCCTTTCGTTATTTTCTATTCTATCTCTTCCTATTTAAAAACGAAGTGCTCATTTGTATATTGCAGATTTATAATCGCCTCAATCATCCAATCAAGTTTTACCAAAACTTTTAAATTAGCTCTTGCTTCAATTTGAGCCGGATTCAAACTGCTCTGAAGAGGGTTGGTTTTTTTTTCTTTCTTAAACTGACATAAACTTCAATTTATTACCTCGTAGTACTTCTTACAGGTTATACAAGTTATAAAACGGACGTCTAAGTTTACTTTGCTGTAAACAAATAGCAAAATATTTGCCTAGTTTTCTTATAATGTTCTGTTGTTTTCCACGAATTTTTTGAAAACCGGTCGTAAAAAAAGAGAAATTTCATCAAGCCGCATTTAGTCTGAGTAAATGATTTAAAAATTCGAAATTGTATCTACTGAAAACAGATGAATACGAGACTTTGCAACAGGTTGTTGTCAGCCAACACAGAATTGTTATCTCATGAACGCAAATGTATGCCAAAGGACTCCCTTTACTTAATGAGATACTTAAAGCTATGTGATGACAGATCAAATGCAAAAGCTGACGATAAAATCTACATGGCGGCTTATCGAGATCAAGACATTTGTAGTTGTACACTTCGTTTAAACTTTGCATAATGACATTTGCATACGTTCTCTACAGCCGCATTTCTAGGAACATTTCAAATACTAAGTCCGTTTACCATGAAAAGATACATCCGCGAGAAATCAACTAGCACAGACGTTTCAGATACATTTTTTTTTTTATTAATTCACCTCAAAATAAAAAATTTATTTAAAATTCACACCAAATTTTCCCAGGGCGAGGCCCATCCATTACATTCCAGTTGGGCCGACATTTGCGATCGCCCCCAAATGTGGACGGCACCGGTGTGCTCTTTTATCTTTTTCTTTTTTTTTTAATTGTAAAAAATTCATTGAAGTGCCTCGAATATCATCCGCACTTACGAAATGCGAATAATAACTCCCTGAATTTTGGTAATTTTTCATTCTGAGGGTTGGAGTTGTTGCGAGGCAAGCTACACAAATTTTGATTTAAAATTTATAATTTTAATTGAGTGCCAAAAAATTGATAAAAAAGGCAAACAAACTTTGATTTAAAATTTATAATTTATTGAAGTGAATTAATATTTTTTGCGATAAGCAACTTTACATTATTTGGGGTGAATTAACAGAAAAGATCCGTCCGTCAGACGCAACACATACATATGCACATAGACATTACATACGCGCATACAAAATCAAATGAAGCGTATAACGGACAGACAATTGTCTCTTCTTTCGTTTATAATTGCCATGACTTCATGGGAAATAGTAGTACTTTCCCGTTGCCTGCTATAAAAATCACCATCAGAAATTAGACCGCTTTTATTTATTTATTTTATTTTTTTGACCAGGAATATCTGACAAAAGATCACTGTCCAGATCAAGGGATAAAAAAAAAAATCAGGAATTCGAATGCACTGATTTTTTTTTTTTTTTTTTTTTTTTTACGGAAGTCAAGAGTCAGCGTTCCACACCCAGTAAAAAAAATAAATAAATAAATAAAAACATAAAAAAAAAAATTGAAAATAAAAGTAAAACCTAACCAGTCACTAGAAAGATCAACCTGTTGCCTCTTTTTGAAATTTATATTGATACGGCACAAAGTAAAACAGAGGAATATCATCATCATTCGTGTTGCACTAATCTGCGTGTGTACCTACCTAAAAAAAATCGAAAGACTGACTATTTTTTTTAACTGGTTTTGAACACTGATCTGTATATAACATCAGCGGGTGCGAAACGTAAATTCTCTTCTTCAGCTTCTCTTCTTCGTCAATAGATCAGTCATGGATAACTATCGGCTGGAGTTGTCAGGGAAACGATTGTTTCTGTGTTACTCCAACAAGCCAGTTTTAGCAGCACAAGCAGTTACCATAGCTCCTTTCTTTTTCAGGTAGAAGCAGAAAAACCAACAGAATTACTACACAGCTATCGCTCCACATTGAAAATGACCCTGTCCATTGCGATCCACACGTAAGCTGACTGCGAGCATCCGCCCACGTAAAATCGGACTCAGAATTTTAACAGTGAATTTATTTATCAAGGTTTTTTTTGTTTTTTTGCTTTCTCAGTTCAACTTTGTTTTCTTTATTGTTTTTTCTACAGAATTATTTTTATTACTACTTTCTTTCTTAGCTTGTTTCATTTACTTTTATGAAAAACTTTAAAAGTTAAAAAACTAAAAAAAAAATGTCGTTTCGGTTTATGGAAATCCATTATGCTAATTTTTTATAACTAAGATTTGTTGTTGGCAGACTTCAATTTTAATTCTTAAAAGTCTAAAACAAAACCAAATCCTCAGCTTCACAAAATTAGTCAGGACGGAAGAAACGATTTATTTTAAAACATTACGAGAACTGTACGCTAAAAACTGAACATTGTTTTCAGGTGGGTCCTTTCTCATGATTTCACTAATGAATTTTTTTTGTCTTAGTACGATACAAAAATCATTTTCTTCGATTATAAATTTAACACATGACTATAAGGAAATGATATTAAGAAAGATTGCGCTGCATCAAATTAGCATTCAGAATCCAGTTTTCTTATACGCCGACCTCTGGAACCTACGGAAATCCGAAAATACCTAAGACACGAGTTAAACTTTTTATTTTTATTTTTGTTTTTTTCTGTTTGCTTGAGTAGAGAAATGGAGATTAAAAATTTGGGGTTTCGCCAATCCTCCAAGTATGTATGTGAAGGGCACTAAAATCATCATTGAAGAAAAAAAAAAAACTCGAATGCTGACCACTATCGCTCATATAGCCACAGGTTGGCCCTATTTGTAGTGCGAATGAAAAATAAAATTGTGTTGCGCCTGTAAAAAGTTGTTCTTTGGTTTTAAAGTCGGCTTTCAAAAAAAAAAAATTCTGACTTTAAACTGTGCTCGGACCCTGGTGAGAAAAATTTACAAGTACACCTCATCCACATAGTAGAGTTGTATTTTCACACGTTCATTCATCAATCGTTTTGTTAATAAAAAGAAATTTAAAATCAATGAAACGCTTCTTTTTTTTTTAATAGACGCAACTTCGTCTGTTCCTTTTCCTTTTTTCCTTCATTTCTTTCTCTCTCTCTCTCTCTCTCTCTTCATTGATTCTTTCTTTTTTCAATTCCACTCCCTCTTTCATTTCATTTTTAAATTCCCCACCTCTCTCTCTCTCTCTCTCTCTCTCTCTCTTAAAAAAAAAACAAAATCAACCTCTCTGCTTATCTTTCTCGTAAAACCCTCCCTGTATTTCCTACTCTTTCTCTTTTTCCAAACTTCTTTTTAATCTGTACGTTTTTCTTCCCACTTCTAATAAAACACCTCTTAACTTACTTTCTCTTTACTTTTCTATCTCTCTAAAAACCTTTTCCTTTTTCCACTCCCGAACCCCTTCCATGTACATCTCTACCCTTTTACTCTCTCAATCTCTCTTCCTTTCACCCCCTCTTATATTCTCTATTAAATCACCCACTCCTTTTTATTACCAATCAATCTCTTCTTTCTTGCTTCACTCCTCCCCTTCATTTAAAATCTCACACTCTCTTTCTCTTTTCACTTTCTTTTTTTTTTATCCATTTCCTGGTACATTCGCTTTGGTAAAGTCCGTTGTTCAATCTGGTAACCGAACTAATCAACCAATTTTCCGTTACTTTCGGCATTGACTTATTTATCTTGTCCGTATTGGGAAATAAAATAAAATAGGTACCATTGCCGGCCACCTACCATTTTAAAAACAGGTTCAATTCAAGAGACTCACATATCATCAAGGTAAGAAGTTTTTCTTTTTTAATATTACTTTTTTGGGCCATTTAGTTTTTAATTCTTCATCGGTCAAGGTCGCGTTGTTACCAAAACGACAAAAAAAAAGGGTCTCAAACTAAAAGACTCTTTATTTCTATAATGGACATTTGTTTTCTTATTTTGCATTTAAAAGAAATTTGGAAAAATGTAAAAAAAAAAAAAAACTTATTTGGTTTACTTTAGTTTAATTTTTATTTTACTATTACATTTTATTTTATGGGCGTTTTTTTTCTTTTCTTTTTTTTTGTTTTATTTTTAGTTGTTGCGTCTGACTTTTTTTTTTTAAAGTCATTAGAAAAATTAAATAATAAAAAAAACTACATATTTAAACAAATTAAATGTTTTTTCACACTTCATCAAATAACTTAATTATTTTGTAATTAATCACTTAAAAATAAAATTCAAACTCTTTTCCCCTTTTCCGCTCGAAAAAAATTAGTCCACAGGTGTATATTGTTTACACACACAACCATATGACATACACACATACTCATAACATATAAAAACACACTTGTGTATATATATATACATATATATTAAAGACATTTTTATGTTTAACATTCTTTTTATAGATACAAGTATTTAAGAAGTAAATGCTCTGTTTATAATAAACAGTATTAAATAACATTTACATTTATTATAAACAGAGCATTTACTTGTATCTAAAAAGAATGTTAAACATAAAAATGTCTTTAATAAATTGTCGGACTTTGTCCAATTTTTAATATATATATATATATATGTGTGTGTGTGTGTACATACTTACGTAAATTAAAAGTTAAAACCCATACATACATGCACACATCACCTTTTACACATGACCACTCACACACATACGAAAAGGTACTGGAAAGTCCTCAACCTCACCAAGAATGAAATCCGCCCCACTACCAAATCTGTTGGATGAGGGTCGAGCCGAGAACTTTTCAGCATTCCCTTGTATACAAATGCACACAATAGGCCACATGTAAAAAAGAAAGAATTAACAAAAGCCACCAGGTAATAAATGGCTCTTTTTATATATTGTTAAAGAATAAAGATTTTGAAAATGTTTCAATTCAATCAACGTTCTTATAGATAGATAGATATGCACACAGACAGATAGATAGATAGATATGCCTCGCTGTGTACAACGGTTAGTGAACAAATCTAGAAATCTTATAAGAAATTCGATCCTCACTGGGTGTTTCAATCATCTGACCTTGTACTAGACTAAACAAAACCACTCTTACTGAGACAACAATCAAGTGACATAAATTAATTAAATAAATTCAACAACACTAAACAATATTTTTTTAACGCTTTTAAAAATTCTGCGTTAAAATGTGTCAAGTTTTCTTTTTTTACTACTTTCTTATTTGAAAATAAAGAAAAACACTTTATTGGAAAATGGTTTTATCGAACATGATTATTTGTATATTGCCATTATATGTCGGCTAAAACAAAAAAAAAACTATTTACAATACATCGATTTAAAAATGCAAACAAAAGTAACTTGATTTGTTTTTCTTATTTTAAGTTTCTATTTTAACGCCGACGGGTATTTTCTTCCACGGAAATTCCTATCAAAGATTTTTAAAATGTTCCTTAATTCCATTTTATTTTATCTTTTTTATTCAAAATGAAAATCTATGGAAAAAATTCTTTAAAAATGAAAGAAAGAGTAAAAGAAAATCCCGAAAAATTTAAGCTGGATGTAATTGTAACAATTTATGAGATGAGATGTGTTTTTTTGTTATTTTTCTTTTACCCATAAAAAAAAATAGCGTTGTTTAACAAGAGAAAAATTCCTATTACTTTTCTTCTCCGACGTTTGCTTTTTAATTCGGAACTTTTAATTAACATTAAAATGTCTATTATTAATTTCTCTCTCAAATCTATATTTGAAAAATGTTTCTTAAATAATTTTTTAAAGTGAAGAAAAAGATAATACCAGAAAAAAATTGAAGAATGAATGAATGAAAACCTCTCTATCGAGTAGATCGTTTACTTGGAATATTGAAAATTAATTAAAAATAAAAGTGAAAGGTCATTCCATTTCGACCTTGACCTTGAAATGAATACTTGCTAGTTGTAAGAAGCAAGGACACGGTCAGTCTCGGATTTAAGGTTGATTCTGGTTTGAATCAATAAACAGTCAAGGTCGGACAAGTTCTTATTATGTTGGATGTGAAGGACGTTTGGTTGAATGACCGGCTTCTCTTGTTACTGGATATTCCAGCCATAATAAGTGCTTACGTGACCTAACAACAGGTAACATTAACAATATTCGTCTCCCGCACGCAGCAAAAAGATTAATTTTTTACAATAAAACAAAATAAAAAATAATTTCAACCAGTTTAATTAGTTTATATTTTACTTTTCTTAAACGAATGTGGATAAGTAACTTTTATTTTCACTCTGTTAGCTCAACAAAGTGATAATAATAGCCTATGCAGACCGGGGTATTAAAACACTCCCTTAAGAAGAATAAATAACATTTTAAAAAAATAAAAATAAAGCTCTCAGGGAGAGACTGGTTTATTTCACATTAAAAAAAAAAAGAAAAAAGAAAAAAAAGGTATTTTAACGGTTAAAATACCTTTTTTTTCTTTTTTTTCACTACTGTCAATGTCATGCTTTAAATTGCTAAATTTAAAATAATACGGACTACTAGCATTTGTAGATTTGGTGGCAGAGAAGGGGGCTAACTATAGGGATCGAAATTTAATATTTTAAAATTAAACGAAAGAAGAGTTTACCTATTCTGTTGGTTTGTTTTTAATTTTTACTAGTATTTTTATTTTATTTCATCATTATTTGGTTTTAGTTACAACTCTTCAGACCATTAGGTTCTACAGCCAATAACAAAAAATGCAGACTGTTTGGTTCGTTTTTTTTTTTTTTTTTTTTTTGCTTAGTGGCATATCAACCTCTTTGGTTTAAATGACGAAATCTAAATATTTTCTTTTCTTCGCAATTTTATTTTGGAGATAATAATGGTTTTTTTAGTGATACAAGTCTTACTAATTAACCCATATAAGAGGTGGCTTCATACCTATCACAAGAAGGGTGTTTGCGTGTAAGTGAATATAACACACCCTACTGGAATTGGAACTCGGCTCTTCTAACAATACCGAGCCATTATCCATTACACCACCCGCACACCCAAGCTTACAACATCTGGTATTCCTAAGCTGTCATCCGTCTAGGTACTCACCAGTTTCAGCGTGACCTAGCCTAGTGCAATTGAAATTTACGCTCTAGGCGAGACTCGAACTCGCATTCCTTTTTTTCACCTTGTGGAGCCTAGCAACTAAAGACGACAAAAAAGTAACAAAAAATGTATTGTTTGAAAATGCTTCATAAAAACTCAAAGACGGTCTTGTTTGTTTAAAGATGTACTTTAGGAACTATAAATAATTATCTAAAAAAAAAATATAAATAAACGGCAAATTCTGTGTGTCCGTCCGTGTGTCTGAAACGCCCTCTACCTCGGGCCATACTTGCTCTATAGACATACCTTTTTGGATTCAGGATGATCCAGGAATTGAAAATTTGCCCTTCATCTAGTGCTTGAATATCCAGCATTGGGATTTGTGTCCGGATGGGGAGGGAACAATTAAAAATTCAAATTTTAAAATAACTGAAAAAAATAATGATTTCTAACTCTTTTAAATTTATGTAGAGTTTACTTACTTTAAAGTAATATAAAAAATTTGGGAATTTTAAAAAAATGTCTTAAATTTAGTTTACCTCCAAAATTTTGTGAATTGAGGAAATCAATTTTATTTCTTCAAAATGCCAAGGAATCAGAGTTAAAGTCAGAGGTTTCATGATTTGAGGTTTTGAAGTTCCGTTGAGTTTGTTATTTGAACAACTCATTTTTCGGTTTGAATTGGAATATATAGCAATAAATAC